CTCTCAAAGACAAATGTTTCGAAGCATTTAGAGTGGTGTAGAAACCACCAGAATTGGTCCGTCAAGCAGTGGAAAAATGTGATTTTCTCTGACGAATCATCGTTTACCTTATTTCCGACCTCCGGCTGAGTGTACGTTTGGAGACAGCCATAAGAAGCCTTTAATCCAGACTGCCTTCTCCCAACCGTAAAACATGGCGGGGGTTCTGTAATGATCTGGGGTGCTATTTCTTGGAAATCCACATGGCCAATGATTTCCCTTCATGGAAGAATTAACAGCCGAGACTATTTAGGAATTTTGGGCGACCAAGTTCATCCTATGGTTCAAGCACTGTTTCCGGAGGGGAACGCCATCTTTCAAGATGATAATGCCCCAATCCATACAGCTAGAATTGTTAAAGAATGGCACGAGGAACATTCTAATGAAGTTGAGCAGCTCATCTGGCCACCACAATCCCCGGACCTCAACATTATTGAGCATTTATGGTCGATTTTAGAGATTCGAGTAAGAAGTCGATTTCCGCCGCCATCGTCTCTAAAAGAACTGGTGGGTGTTTTAACTGAAGAATGGGCTAAAATTCCTTTGGAAACAATTCACAATTTGTATGAATCTAATTGGCTGTAATTGCCTCAAAAGGTGGACCTACACCATATTAAAGTATATTTTGTTGATTTTCCAAGGTGTTTCCATTATTTTGTCCAACCTCTGTATATAAAGATACTGCTGAAGTAGTCTTACCGAAAACCCCATCTCAACTATGGGCATTGAGCAGAGGCTGGCAAGAATGAGACAGAAAATACGCTACTCTACATGAAAAGACCAACCACTGAGCAAGGGACTGTACAAACCCCATGCATAAAACCGAAGGTGTGATACCCCATTGTGAAAGATAGGCATTCATGGCTAATGGAAAAGGGACTATCAAAAGGAAAGTGGAGGAGGCTATACAGATGACAAATGGCAAAGAGGAAAAATCATGGCTGAACTGAAAAGAGAAGCAATTAGAAGTACCTGGCAAGGGGGTGTCACAAATAAGACAGAAAATGGGGAAGAAGACAAAGGGAAGGATAAGCATAAAAAATGAGGTTGAATCAGGGCTAAAAAATCTAGGATTTTAGACCAAAAAAAAGATCAAGTTTGTTACAGAATCCCAAAGGCATTGATCAGAGGACTCCCAAAGTGGGAACAAATCCACTGAAGCATCAAAGTATGAAGAGACCACTCAGTGAGAAGTATCCTGTCTGAGCAAGACATGACAGGCCAAACAACCAAATTTAATGGTTGTGGACCCAAAAGAGAAATTTCAGTGTGGGAAAGCACAGATTCCAAGGAAGAGTGCTACCCTGATGACTGATGTGAGATACTACTGTGGAAATGTCTGAATGGATCATTTCCAGATAACCCATGAACTGAAATGGAAGACATTGATAAGCCCAATAAGTAGCAAACATTTCCAGGACAACAACCACTCCCATCTAGAAAAAAAGGCATCTGTATACAAATTCAGACTGGCTTGAGGAAGAAGAAGGTGATTACCTAGAGCCATGTTGAAGCAATAATAAGTGGGGGACAAATAGGACTTAGTGCACTAGACCAGCCAACCCAATTGGGATGAAGCCAACTGACCACATAATAATGGAAGTGAAAATCCAAAGAATGCATCTGCCAACTGACTGCTTGCATAAACAGATTGAAAACATAATGGGTCATGGATAACCTGAAAGGAAGGGCCCCAAATTGAAATACCTGAGGAAGGATTCAAAAAAAAAAAAAAACAAGCTTCAGCTCAAGAATTAAGAAAACCTCCAAATACTTTATCATGAAAGAATGGACTCAGATGGATTTTTAAAATATAAGATGAAGGGAAGTGCACACCCAAAAGGAAGGAATCCTGACCAAGCATATTCCAAAAACAAAGAAACCACATCAGCAAAGATACAGCAGTTGAAGAGATCGAAGCCAAGGTGGCAAACAAGTAGGAATAAATGTCTCCATCAAAACTGTCAAAGTTATGATGGAGAGCTTTGAGAGAAAGTGAAGTGTGATACAAATAGCAAAGAAACTGTAAAACAAAAGTGAGTAAAAGATCAGTAAAAGATAAAGTAGGAGAAAGGGGTCACCTCAAGTGAGAAGAAGATATTTCAGGGAATGAGGTCCAAGAAAAACAGAAAGATTATGATTAAAGGCCATAAAAAAGAGACACACAGGGCAAGGAAGGAAGCTAAAATGTATCAGCACATAGTTGGGACAGAAGAGCATCAGCATTAACAAGAATGTCTAAGGAGATGGGGGGGGG